TCGGCGTCTGCCATCTTGCCCCGGTTCCCAGGCTGCCGCGTTGCTTGCTAGGAAGTGTAGTTTGGGCTTCGTTATTTAGCGTCATTCTGACAAGCGTAAGAACTACATTTCCCATAAAACAATGCAGCATTAACTTCGGAAAGCAAAGCAGCTACTATAGGAAGTTATTGTCCTTCCTCTAAATTTCTCACGAGTGCGCCTGCGCCCAGGGTACCGTGAACTGCAGTTCTTTAAAGAGATAGTAGCGGTAGATGGTGCAGTCTCTCTTCCCAGGTTTCAGAGAATGATCTTGAAAACATGTATTCCATTATTCTAGCAACGTCCTGGTTATGTTTCCATTTTAGAAATCCTACACATCTTGGGATGGGTCCTGAACTCCCACTGTGGTAACTTTCAAAATACAATAAAATCGTAAAATTTTTACGGATATATTGCAAATTTGACAAGTGCTCCTGTGGATCCGTGATCCAGATACGTTTAAATCTTCTATATAACAATAGCACGTTATAAGCATCAGAGTAGTGCAACACAATTAACTCTAAATTATTTTCAGTGCTAGAATTCAGAAAACAAGCTAAGACCACACATTACAATATAATTGCAATGCCTCCTTTATGTTCTTCAGTCTGTGGCAGCTACTCAATCTTTCTTCACCTTTAACACCTGCAAAGTTCATTACAGCTTTTTTGGTAGAACTCCATCTGAATGGATTTGTCTGAAGACTAATCATGATTTGGTTGAACTTACTAAATTTTTTTGAAAAAATTGTACAGAACCAAAATACTCTTCAAAACATATCGTATTAGGGGATTAGTGATGTAAATAAATCTTATTACAAAATATATGGTGACACAGAGTGAATATTCATCCTTCATTCTGTAGTTTAGTCCTGAGAGAATGTTTTAGAAGATTTGTTTATGGGGCCTGGCGCAATGGCATAATGATTAAAGTCCTCACCTTGCATGCGCCAGGATCCCATATAGTCACTGGTTCTAATCCCAGCAGCCCCACTTCCCATCCAGCTCTCTGCTTCTGGCCTGGGGAAGCAGTTGAGGACGGCCCAAAGCCTTGGGACCCTGTACCTGTGTGGGAGACCTGGAAGAGCTCCTGGCTCCTGGCTTCAGATTGGCTCAGCTCCAGCCCGTTGTAGCTGCTTGGGGAATTAACCATTGGACAGAAGACCTTCCTCTCTGTCTCTCCTCCTCTCTGTATATCTGCCTTTGCAATAAAATAAATAAATCTTAAAAAAAAAAGGACAGTGGTTCTAACAGCATAGAAGCAATTTAGATGGTTTTTGCAGGTGAGGTATTTGTTAAGTGATTATATTAAATTAAGGTGCCATGATAGTGGTTCTTAAGCCCTTAGTGCTTTATAAAGATGTGAAGTAGTTTATTTCCTTTCTACTCTTGCCATGTGGTAACCTGTGCCACCCAGGCCATAAGCAGGGTGTTGGGTCAGAAGTGGTGCAGCTGGGACACAAACCAGTGCCTAGATGGGTTACTGGCACTTTCACAGTGAGGTTTAAACAATTGAGCCATTGTACTGGGTCCTGTGGTTTATCTCTGAGTATTTATTTTTTAAAGATTTAGTTTTTAGGAATCGGCACTATAGCCTAGTGGCTAAGTCCCGCCTGGCATATGCCGGGATCCCATATGGGCACTTGTTTGTATCCCAATTGCTCCACTTCCCATCCAGCTTTCTGCTCGTCGCCTGGGAAAGCAGTAGAGGATAGCCCAAAGCTTTAGGACCCTGCACCCACGTGGGTGATCCGGAAGGAACTCCTGGCAACTGGCTTCATATCAGCTCTTCTCCAGCCATTGCAGCAAATCGGAGAGTTAAGCTGTGGCCAGAAAATGTTTCTTTTTGTCTTTTCTGCTTGTAAATCTTTAGTGGAAAATCAGATTTACAGAGAGAAGCAGAGACAGAGAGATCTTCCATCCACTGGCTCACTACCCCAAGGGCTGCAACAACCAGAACTGAACTGATCTGAAGCCAGGAGCCAGGAACGGCTTCTGAGTGTCCCCCATGGGTGCAGGGTCGCAAGAACTTGAGCCATCGTTGCTGCTTTCCCAGGTTATAAGCATGGAGCTAGATCAGAAATGGAACATCTGGGACATGGATCAGCGTCCATGCAGGATGCCAGCGCTTGCAGGTACAGAAGGATTAGCCAATTGAGCCACTGCGCCAGACTCTTATTTCTGGTTTTTTGTTTCTGATTTTGTTTATTCTTATTTTCCATGATGCAGTTTGGCAGTTATAAGGTTGTCCCCCTTTCTGTCCCTTTCTTTCCTCCCTGTCCCTTCTCCCCGGCCATTGTCCCCTGCATTTTACAATAATACAGTGCTTCAGCTGTAGTCATGACTCCAACCTTCTGATCTTTCTGTGTGTCATGAGATTGTAGGTGCAGGCAATGATATATAATATATTAAAAAAAACACTTTTATTGATTTGGAAGGCAGAATTACAAAGAAAGACTGAGAGAGAGAGAATCTTACATTGCTGGTTTCCTCCCAAATGGCCACAACAGCTAGCACTGGTGCAGGCTGAAGTGACAGCCCGGAATGCTCTCTGGGTCTCTTGTATGGGTGCAGAGACCCAGCACTTGGGCCATCTTCCGTTTCTTTCTCAGGTACACTACCAGGAACCTGGTTATAAGTGGACCAGTCAGGACTTGAACTAGTGCCCATGAGGAATGCCCATGTTGCATGCAACAGCTGAATGTTGGCCCCTGTTTCTAATTTCATTTTTAGCATTGAATCTGTTTATTTGAAAGACAGAGTTTTGGAGGGAGGGGAGAGATCTGTCACCCACTGGGTCATTCCCCAAATGTTGGCAGTGGCTAGAGCTGGGCATGCAGAAGTCAGAGGCTTCATCTGGGTTTTCTATGTGAGTGCAGGACCCAAGCACTTGGGCCATCTTCTGCTGCTTTCCCAGGTGCGTGCATTGGAAGTGGAGCTGCCAGGACCCAGAACAGCACCCACACAGAATGCACATGTTGCAAACTCCGGCTTGATCTGCCACATCACAAGAATGGCCCCTGTTTCTTTCTTTTAAAAAAATGTTTTGAAGTTTGTTTTGAACATTCTTTACATGGCTGAGAGGTAGGCACACCCATGCGGGTCTCCAGTTAGGGTTGGGAAAGATTGAGGCATGAAAGAAGGTGGCTGAGACAAATGTTTCAGTGCTTTTTCTTTTCTTTTCTTTTTTTCTTGTGTGTCTGTAGCAGGAGAGCCCCTGTTTCTGATTTGTAAAATAGGGGGTACTACAAAAAAGTTCATGTTCTGTGACAATTATGCATAGATTTCAAAAATTTTGCCCCTCAAATCAATTTATCTTTAAATACCAATATGGATTGTTGGAAGTGCTCTTGTATGTTCCTTTGACATTTGCATAGTTAATTTTTAAAATGTTTAATTTATTTGGGCCTGGCATGGTAGCCTAGTGACTAAAGTCCTTGCCTGACATGCAGCAGGATCCTAGTTCATGTCCTGGCGGCCCCACTTCCCATCCAGCTCCCTGCTTGTGGCCTGGGAAAATAGAACTGTAAGGCAGATTTTAAGGAGAGAGAATTAGAGACAGAAGATTGTCCATCCTCTGGTTTACTCCCCAAATGGCCTCAATGACTGGAGCTGAGCTGATATAGAGCCAGGAGCCTGAAGCCAGGAGCCTATCATGGGTCTCCCACCTGAGTGCAAAGTCACAAGGTCTTGGGTCATTCCAGGCCATAAACAGGGAACTGCATGGGAAGTGGAACAGCTGGAACTCAAACCAGTGCTTGTATGGGATGCCAGCACTTGCAGGTGGATGATCGGCCTACTGAATCACCCCCTCCAGCCCCATCTCCTGACCTTTTGTAACCCTCCCTTCCGGCCCTCTCACTCTTCTCCACGTAGGCAATCACTGATCTGCCTTTGGTCATTACACGTCAATTTTTGTTTGACTAGATTTGTATATAAATGGAATCTCATATCAGGGACTCTTATGAGTTTGGGTCTGGTGTCTTTTACCTCAGCATAACGATCTTGAGAGCCATTGAAATTGTTCATTCCTCTTTACTGTTGAGTTGTGCTGTGATAGATGAATATTGCAGTTTGTTCATTCGTTTCCTTATGGTGGGCATTTAGAAAGTTCCAGGTTTTTTGTTTGTTTGTTTGTTTTGGTATTAACAAATGCTATACATTGAATTGGGTCCCTCTCTAAACTCAATGAGGTTGTTAGGATGGAGTTAAGGCGAAATGACGTCATAGGTACATGCTAATCAGTTAGCGCTGCAGCCTTAGAAGAAGATTATGCTTTTACCTCTCTTTCTCTCTCTCACCCCCTCCCTCTCTGCCGTTCTCTTTTCCCCCCTCCCTTTGCTTCTCACCTAACTCTTCCTCCTTGTGGGGATACAACCAGAAGGCAGCCATCCAAAAACTGAGAAGAGAGCCCCCACCAGGAACCGAGGTGACCAGTGTCTTGAACTTGCACGGTGAGCTATCCTTCAACTTCTTTTGTTTTAGTGGGATTTTGCTATGGCAGCCCAATGTGACTAAAAAAAAATTGCTGCCATGAATATTTGGATAGAAACCTTTGTGTAGATGTATGTCTTCTTGTACTTTTTAGGAGTAAAATACATAGATTCTATGTATAACATTTAATTTGTTAAGACCCTGTCCAACTGTTTTCTAAGCACGCCACACCATTTTCATCACCACCAGCAGTATATTAGTGTTTGATTTCTGCTAGAGCTGCCACAGCAACTGGTAGTCAGACTTCAGTGTTAGTCAGGGCCTTGATTAATCAAAGCAGGAGACGCCTGAGATATCAAGACCAAACACCAGTGAGCATACCTGCAGCCAGGCCTCCTTGCTGGCGGCTAGGTAGGTCACTCAGCTGGTCGGGCACCGGCCTGGCCGGCCTCGGCCACGTCCCGACCTGGGCCAGCTGCCAGGTGAGCGTGCTCCTGAGCTCAAAAACGCTTTGCTGGAGGTCCCGGGTGCACTGGCTGACCACTGGTCATGGAGCGGCGCGCAGGGGGCGCCTCGGACCCTAGAGGGAACAAAGGAGGTATGGGATGGGCTCCAAGGGGTGGGGGAAGGAGCACATTCCTGCAACCTGGCCCCGCCTGTCTGCTCCACACCCTTGCCTTCTGACAGGTGGTAAACAGAACAGTTCTGGCGCCCAAGCGGCCGGTCGCGTAGTCGCCAGGGACCCAGCGATCAAGACTGGGATGCAGGGCGCCCATCCACACCCAGGCTCGCTCCCCAGCAGAGGGACAGGGGCGGCACAGCAGGCTGGGGAGGGGGTGGGGGAGGACTCCCCGAGGTCTCTGCAGCGATGTAGGGAAAGGTGTCGGCACGTGGTCACTGGGACACCCCGGCGTCCGAATGCACAGTGAAGGGGACTGCGGGAGGGAGCTGGGGCTGTCTGGGTGTGTGCAGGGGCACTGTGGAGGGGCGTGGGCCAAGTGGGGCAGCGGGAGCTCCGAGGCAGCGGACTCTCAGGACAGGGGTCCTCTAGCACGTCTTTCCAGAGACCCTGGGTGCCTGCAGAGTGCCCGCAGGCCCTGTCCCCTCAGGGCAGCGGGGTCAAATGGGGGCGCCCAGAGGTGCCTGAGCAAAGAATTGGCTTCCAGGGTCATGAGGGGGAGTAGGGTAGGGGCGTCCAGAGAAAGTGCTAGGATGTTCAGAGATATCCAGGACGATTGAAATGCAGCGGGCACGGCCACGGCGATCAGGAGGGCAGATGTGGATCCTCGGGCTGACCCACCTTGACCGGGGATGGGGGGGGGGTCGGGGGGGGGGACCTTTGGTGACTTTGGGAACTATCACAGCAGGGACGGGCTGGGGCAAGCCTTGAGTATGCTAAGGGACACTTGGAGGTCTTGGGAGTCGTGGAAGCACGGAGGGGTCCCGCAGCGCAGGATGGGCGCTGACCTGTCCCCCTTCCGCGCGCAGGCCGCGGCCGTTCGCTGCCCGCGGGTCCCAGCGCCCGGCAGCTGCTGGCTCGTCTGGACGCGCGCCCCCTGGCGGCGCGAGCTGCGGCAGATGTGTCGGCGCTGGTGCGCAGGGCGGGAACCACACTGCGCCTGCGCGCCAAGGAGGGTTTGTGCTGGGGGAGGGGCCCGAGGGCGGCCAAGTGCTGGGTGGCGGTTGGTGACGCTTTGGGCGGGGGCAGGCCCTTAATTTTTTTTTGAGGGCGGCACTGAGAGCGGGCGGCAGGTTGGTTTCTTGTGGCCAGGGAGGAGGCGGGGCCCAGGGCGGGTCCTCAGCCGGGGGCGGGGCCAGGCGGTGGGCGGGGCCAGGCCCTGGAGTGGCAGCCCTGAGGGTGGACCTAAAGGCGCACTTTGGGGGGCGGGGTCTCCTTGTTAGTAGCAGGAGGGAGGAAGGTGTGGACGATCATTCAAACGTCCAGGCCCAGCATCTTTTGTTAATGGTTTAGAACAGTTATTTGTGCAGTCATCCTCTTTGATCTTACAGCTGTTGGTGAATCGGATTCTGCTGACATAGAGGTCACCGACAGGCGTCTGCCTCATGTCACAGTTGCAGAACACCGGCCTCAGGTAGCACCTCAGCCCTCAGTGGGAAGCCGTTTGACTCAGGCCTGGCCCATCAATGCATATCTGTATCCTTATTCCAGCATCGGCGATCAGAGACTATCTGTCCGCGAACTGTGCCACTCCCAGTGGCCCAGGGCAAAGGACGCTGTGCTTGGAAGCCAGCGCAGGCCTCTGGTCAGTTCTCTGTGGAACTGCTCCGCGGTTCTGCAGGCTTTGGCCTCACGCTAAGTGGGGGCCGGGATGTAGGGGGAGATGCCGCACTTGTGGTGAGCGCGCTGCTCAAGGATGGGCCAGCTCAGCGCTGTGGTCTTTTGCAGGTGAGCCTCCCAGCTACCCACCCGCAGGCCTCCTGCATTCAGTCCTAAGTGTTACCTCTACCAGTGTCAGGAGCGTTTCTAGCTCTGGAAGCTTCCCACATCGTGGCCTACTGTTTTTGCAGCCTGGTGACGTTGTGCTGCATGTCAACGGAGAGTCAACACAGGGCCTCAGCCATGGCCAGGTGGTGGAGCGCATCCGAGCTGGAGGCCCCCGGCTCTCCCTGGTGCTCTGCCGGCCTCTTGAGATGCAGCCTCAAAAGGCTGAGGGCACGGCAAGGCCCCACAAAGGCGGTGGTAGGTCTCCCAAGGGAAGGAGGCTCAGGGACCTGGCAGGATTCCCAGGATGGAGAAGCTGGGTTCATGGGTGGAAGGGGTTTGGGGGGGCTGAGTGGTGAATATCAAGGGGTTGATGTTTGAAGGAGGGAGAGGTAATGGTGTTTTTCAAACTGAAAGACAGGTCCTAGGATAGGAAACTCCATGATGAGGCAGTGGAAGTGCTGAAAAGTACTGGAAAATAAAGGATCTGGGTGGGGGATTTGAGCATAGGTTCAAAAGTGAGGCCTAATTCTTGGAGCGGAAGGCAGAATGGGTGTCAGCTGGGGGAGGGAAGATGGGCTGGAGACCCAGAGGGCAGAGTACCTAATCCTGAGAGACAAAGGCTCCATGGAGGGAAGGGTTTGGGGTGAATGGTGGTGGGATGAGAGCAGTGCCAGCCAGGATCTTAAGTAGAGGAGGTTCTCCCCTTCAGGGTAAGATCTTTTTAAAAGATTTATTTCTTTTTAAATTTGTATTAGAAAGTCAGATTTACAGAGAGAAGGAGAGAGAGAAAGATCTTCTGTCTGCTGGTTAACTCCCCACATGACCGCAATGGCCAGAGCTGAACTGATCTGATGCCAGGAGTCTCTCCCAGGTCTCCTACATGGGTGCAGGGTCCCAAGGCTTTGGGCCGTCCTTGACTTCTTTCCCAGGCCACAAGCAGGGAGCTGGATGGGAAGTGGAGCAACTGGGACACGAGTCGGTACCCATATAGGATTCTGGCAGATGCAAGGCAAAGACATTAGATACTGGGCTACTGCACCAGGCTCCACTATGTTGGATTTTGAATGATACTGCAGATTGTGACACATTATTTGAGGGTAGTGTCCTGGTTCTAGGAGGGGAGAGCTGTTGGCAGAGGAGCTGTCTGGGGTTCTGAGAGGCAGCCTGCTGTGAAAGGTCACCTCCAGCCCTTCAAACCCTGTGCCAATACGTTCTTTCCACTACCCTTAGCCAAAGGCTCTGATTTCCTCTCCCTTCTCCAGCCTCAGAGTTAACCACAGTCCCATTATCTTCAGGTCACAGCCTGGTTCCTGGGGTCCCCAAGGCGATGAGATCTCACCGTAGCACCAGCGCATCCCCAGATCAGTACCCTCGATCCTCCACCACGTCCAAGACCCAGAGGAGCCCAGAGCCTAGTCCTCAAGCTACAGTGGACTGTCTCGCAATGCCTCCTCCTCGCGAATGCCGCTGCTCAGACGACCCAGATGATCATGTTCCAGGTTCCCCAGGGCCCTGGCTGGTGCCGAGCGAGGAGCGCCTCTCACAAGCCCTAGGGGCCCCTGGACCAGGGCAACTGGCTCAGGAGGTGGCAGCTGGGAGGCGGAGGCACTGAACAGGAACCAGCAGCTCAGCTGGTGCCAGATGTGGGAGTACTCAACCTGGATCTGGCGCTCCCCGATGGCTGCGCCCAGGAGAAAGCTTTCTGCTCTCATCTCCTTTCCTGCTGCAGTCCATCTTGCCCTGGAAGAGCCAGTCATACAGCCCTCCCCAGCCCCCACGCTTCTGCTCCCAGGAGGGGGAGGTAATAAAATGGTTCCATCTAGTCTTGACTTGCCAGGTGCGCCAAGTGGGGTGGGGCAATCCAGTCCACCCTGTAAAGGAGGGGGTGGGTCAATTCAGTTTCAAGGCAGACCTGTTTGGGGAAGCAGCTGCAAGTTTTGGTCCTGTGGCGCTTTCATGCCTTCCATCCGTCGTCAGCCTGTTGTGGCTTCCCCCACTGCTTTTCATTTTGCCAACTCCTGCTCCTCCTCTCTCATTCATTCATTTTCCTGAAAGTGGACAGGGGTTCACACATAATGACGTGTGCTGTACCAAGGGAGAAGCTGAGGTGGGCCTGTTGTGGTGACAGGAGTGGCCCCTAGGGTATCCTCAGTCTGGCCTCAGGGTCATCCTGCCCCCTTCAGCTGCTGTGGGGCTAGCACCAGAGGAGGCAAGCAGCAGTGTGACTTCTTTCGCCAGCAGCCCGTGGTCTCCCACTTCCGGTCCTTGTGGTCAGCTTGGGCTGGCACCCTTAGAGCACCGGCTGGGGCCTAGGAACCCCCTTTGAGGCGGAGCTGGGAAGGTGTGAGTCAGCCTCCCAGGCTTCCAGGCGGGCTAGGCTAAAAAAAGCCTGCTAGAATCTTTGGGCCGCGCCTCCTTGTCCATAGATGGTGACAAACTGCAGTGAGGTTTGTGTGCACAGGCATACACACAGGGAAAGGCCCGCAGAGTCTTCCTCTCTGCGGGGGTGCATAGGGCCAGTGGTTCTGCAGTAGGGTAGCCCCTGGCTGAGGTCAAAAATGTCCTGTTAGCTCCCCTGTCACCATATCCTGAACCCCATCCTCCCCCAAGATGGGGAAGCTGTGGTCGAATTAAAACAGGCAACTTTCACTCCTATGGAGTGGCAGGGGAGTGGGAGAGAAGATGGGACTAATTAAATGGCTAGGATGTGAGTTCAAGGAGGCCCTGGGAAGGAACTGGGGACAGCAAAACTAAGCTGGGATTGAGGTATGAAGAGGTGAAGAGGTGAACGCGGGAATGATTAGCGCTGTAGACATTGCGGGGGAGTGTGCCGCCTGGGCTTCCAGCTCCCCTTGACTCAGCCTGGTGGAGGTGTGGCTCTGCACAAGTCGCGGAAGGGATCTTGAGCCCCAGTCCTATAAACATGGTCACACCCAGGGGACTAATAGCAGTAACCCCAGCCGCCACTTGCTTGGCCATATTCATTTTTGCTACTGGCTTCACTGAAATAGTTATTTTCATCTAGTTGCACATGTATTCAACAACACTCTGTCCATCATATCAGGGAAGAAATTGAGGCCTGGGCGGTACAAATGGCAGGGCAGAGGCTGTGAAAGCAAGATTTAATTAAAACAGGATTTTTGATGCCAGTCCTCTTAATCTCACCTGCCTTTGATAAATATTAATTGAACTTCAACTGTGTATCTTGCAGTGATGTTATGTGTACTATGGAAATGCGGGAAGAACAAATCTTGTGTTTTATTTTTTTTAATTTAAAGAGGTGGGACTGTTTTTTAAAAAGGCATTATGTGATTATTTTTAAAAGATTGATTATTTTCATTGGAAAGGCTGATATAGAGATAGAAGGAGAGACAGAGAGAAAGATATTACGTCCAATGATTCACTCCCCAAGTAACCACAATACCCGGAGCTGAGCCAATCTGAAGCCAGGAGCCAGGAACCTCTTCCAGGCCTCCCAAGTGGGTGCAGGGTCCCAAGGCTTTGGGCCGTCCTTGACTGCTTTCCCAGGTCACAAGCAGGGAGCTGGACAGGAGTGGGCTACCGGGATTAGAACCGGTGCCCATATGGGATACTGGCGCATGTAAGGCGAGGACTCTAGCTGCTAGGCTACCATGTTGGGTCCTTTATATAATTATTGAAAAGACAGAGTTAGAGAGAGGGAGAAAGAGGTGCCATTCTCTAGTTTATTTCACAAATGGCCAAAACAGCTGGGGTTGGATCAGGCCAAAGCCTGGAGCCAGGAATTTATCCAGGTCTCCCACATGGGTGCAGTAGCCCAAGGACTTGGACAATATCCCACTGCTTTCCCAGGTGTATTAGTGGGGAGCTGGATTAGAAATGTAGTAGCTGGGATACCAACTCATGCCTATAGAGGAAGTTGGTGTCGCAGGTGGCAGTTTAACCCACTAAGCTATAATGCAGTCCCAAAATGTATATCATTATGTAGGTGATGTGTTGGGATTAGACAGATATCAGACAAGAAAGAAGAAAAGGAATAAATAAAATATGATGTCATAGAGGAGTGAGGGTGACAAAACCCGCAACAGAAAAGCGCCATTGGAAAATCATATGGGTGGATATATGGGCTACTGACCTCTTTGAAGACTTGGCATTTTGATTCAGAACTTGAATGACCAGAGGCCACATGTAATGAAGAGCTGGGGGAAGGACCTTGACATCAGTGAGAAGAGCAAGTGCAAAGGCCCTAAGAAGCGGCTAAGTCTGTGTTTGTTTGACAAACTCAGGCAAGCTGTCGCAGAGTTCAGAAAGCTTACATTCAGCACGGGGAAAGACTGCTCCAACCCTTCCACTATGAAATTATTCCTTTGGGCTGAGAGAGAGGAGGAGTCCTGCAGCGGTGAGGGCCCCTGTGTTTGAGGGACGCTGAGCAGGCAGGTCCAAGGGCTGAGCCTTGTAAAATGAAATCAGAATGAATGGCTGCGTGGGGTCTGGCGAATGAGCACTCAGCGCGTCTCAGTGATCTCCAGTCCGGAAACAAAATTCCTGTTTCTGATGCAGAAATTCAGGCTGAGCTGGCCGGAATGACTTGCTCACTAGATAACACACCTACAGTTGTCATCAGCTTTGCTACACTGCCTGGCACCCCCGAAACCAGCCCCTCGTCTTGCCAAACTTCCAGCAATAAATATGTGCTGCTTCCCCATTTGCCATCTAAAAACTGGGTTGACCACAACCGGCTCCTCTGTCGTTAGAAGCAGAAAACTGAGCCCAGCACCTGGCACCAGTACTTACAGGGATCACAAGTTCCAAAATTCAGCCCCTTGGCTCTGTGGCTAGGCCCAAGGTCTGACTCGTGTTACTGAGCTGCCTGGTGTTCGCCAGGCCCTGTTGTGCTTCAGCCCTTTTCTCTAGCAAGGTGGTGTGGTCATCACTGCTCAGTGATGAATTCCAGGCTTCCTGGATGCTTTATCTGCAATTAGCAAGTTTAAACCAACCATTCCCCATCCCCACTGCCCCCCAGATTTGGGTCTCATTTGGTTACAAAGACCTGTCCTAACAAGGAACAAGGAATACTTTAAACACCTCGTTTATCACCACATGTTTTTGGGTAAGATATTTAAAAAAAAAAAGATTTATTTTGTAAGATTTACTGAAAGGAGGAGAGACAGAGAAAGATCTTTCATCCACTGGTTTGCTCCCCAAGTGGCTGCAACAGCTGGAACTGAGCTGATCTGAAGCCAGGAGCTTCTTCCAGGTCTCCTACATGGGTGCAGGGTCCCAAGGCTTTGGGCCGTCCTCAACTGCTTTCCCAGGTCACAAGCAGGGAGCTGGATGGGACACAGGTTCGCTGAGACACAAATTGGCACCCGTATGGGATCCCGGCGGCTGCAGGGTGAGGCCTTTGGCCACTAGGTCATTTCGCTGGGCCCCCTTGCTGTTGTTTTAACCCAGTAGTTCCAGACCCTGTTGAGAGTGAGAAGAAATATACTGTATATGCATTCACGGGGAAAACTTCCCAAAATTCAAAATATTCTCAATTCTAGAAATATGCTCCATCATGTTCGTGTCTTAAAGGTTTCACAGCAATCTAATTTTTTTTTTTCCTTTGCTAAGGAAACTGAGTCACTTCGTCCCAAAGCCAAATTCTCGCGGCTCCGAGTTGTGACAGCCCCGGGTGCATTTGTAATCGCAAAGGCCGAAGGATCTCTTCACTATAGCAGCGGGTGCCCGGAGCAGCACCCCGGATAGGGGTTGCCCCCGGGGGGGGGGGGGTGAGGTGAGGGCCGGGTTTGTCCGGGACGGGCGGGGCGAGGGGGCTTCCGGGGCGGCAGCCACCTGGCCCGGCCCCCTCCGGCCCCGCCCGCTTCTGCTCGGCGCGGTGATTCACTCTCTCCTTCGCCCCGGGGGCCCCCTTCTCGGCCAGACGGCGGGCAGGACAAGCTTGGTGTAGAGCGTCCTCGAACCCGCCCGCAAGCTTTCGCAGATCCTCCGCAGTCCCAGCGACTCCGCTCCACGCCATGGCGGACTCTGAACGCTTTTCAGCCCCTGGCTGTTGGGCCGCCTGCACCACGTTCTCGCGCACCCGAAAAGGAATACTCCTGTTTGCTGAGATTGTGAGCGTCTGGGGACCGGGCGGGTGGGCAAAAGCGCCGTGGCGGTTGGGAGCTAGAGTGGGACACGCTCCGACCTGGATAGATTGGAGTGAGCCGGCACGTGGTCCGGGCGCAGGGCTGAGGGGCGCAGTTGAGGGGGATTCGTCGTGGAGGGCCTGAAACCTGGGGCGCAAGGAGCGCCAGTGGAGTTTGATCAAGGTGGTCGGGACCTGGTGGCCCGCGGCTGGTGGCAAGCAGCTCGTAATGCATGTTAGCAGGCTACGCGAGTGGGGGAGCCCGCGTGGACTTCTTGGCGGGGACATAGAAGGGGTCCTGTGCAGTGGGGGCCTCCCGTGGCAGGGCGTGGCGCGGCCTGGGCACTGGCAGGCGGGCTGGCAATGAGCCCAGGGGTGGGGCCTGTTGGGGAGCGGCCCCGCGCTAGCCCCGAAGGGTAGGGCGTTCCACCCATCGCCAGCTCTTCCTCGCCCTTCTGGGACCCGGCGGGAGGTCCCTAACTTTTCCAGCCACTGGGAAACCTTGCCTTCCCGTTTCCCCTCGAGCTGGGCACCACTTTGGTGTCACTTGGAAAAGGAGTATGGCGCCTTTAACCGAGCCCCGCCTCTCGGCTGTTACTTTCCCCGCTTCCCAAAGGGGTTGCCCAGGGAACCTCACGTCCCCCAGCCTTCCTCCAAGCTCACCGCACCCCCCTCCCCCGCGCCCAGCTCCCGCCCCACGCCCGCCCCAAGGCCAGGAAGCGGATCCTGCTGTGGGAGAAGTTCACAGAACATCTGGTAGAGCCATTCCCCTTACAAGCTTACTTCCTCCTGGAAGGGGAAAAGGGGAAACTGAGGCACCCGACGACTTTTTTTTTTTTTTTTTTTTTTTTTTGCTGAGGGGCCTTGAGCCAAGCCACTTCACCTCTCTGTGCCTCCCATAAAAGTCCAGCCAGTCTTGATAGTACCTAGCTCATCAACTCGGTGTGATGGTGACGTGGATCTGGTATTTGTGAGGCTTCTAGAACAACGTTTGGGCGACAGTGAACACACAGAAAGGCTTTCATCTTTAACTGAGTGTCATTTCCCAGACCTGGTCCACGTGGAAGTTTGAGGTCCCCTCCCCACCTCCTGTCCCCCACTGGCCTGGGGACTGATGGAAGGCCCCCTCCCCCTTTCCCTTGTCATCCTTCCAGATCTTGTGCCTGGTGATTCTGATCTGCTTCAGCGCGGGGACCTCAGGATACTCCTCTCTGTCTGTGGTGGAGATTGTCCTTGCTGCCGTCTTCTTTGTCATCTACATGTGTGACCTGCCTTCCAGGATGGCAGTCATCAACTGGCCCTGGAGTGTGAGGAAGGGGGCGCAGGGGCTGGGGAGTGGGTGGCTGGGAGGAGGACTGACGGGTAGTGCAAGTTGGCCTGGAACTCTGCTCACTGACTTCTGCCTTCTCCTTGCACCTCACAGGACTTCTTCCGGGCCCTCATCGCGGCAGTCCTCTACTTGATCACTTCCATCTTCGCTCTCGTCGGGAGTGGAAGGCCTGCCATCATCGCAGCAGGGGTAAAGGCCCTGGGGCAGGGGAGGAGAACTTTGTGAGCCCGCCCCCTTCCCTGGGTGGACCACACTTGTCCTCAGACCTGCAGGCAAAAGTGTAGTTCTAGCCCTGGTTTCGCCACAAAGGACCTTTCTGGGACGTCTAAATAGTTGGCCCCCTATGTCAGAGCAGGCCACCATCTGCTGGAAGTTTGTCACCAAGGGAGTAGGAACTGTGTCCCCTCCCCATGGACTGTGGCTGCCTTAGTGTTGGGAGGGACAAGGCAGAGAGATGGAAAGGCTTTAAAGTCTCCTAGCCATTCCCTGCGGGTGCTCTGGCTTCTCACGACGACGGCACCTAGCAGGGAGTCACTGGAGGAGGTGGCACATACCGGGAGGTGAGAGTGGGCTGACCTCCCAGCCCAGCCCTTCTCATTCCTGTCTCCACTCCCAGGTCCTGGGCCTACTTGCTACCTGCCTCTTTGGCTACGATGCCTACTTCACCTTCCCTCTTCGGCAGCAAAGACATACAGCAGCCCCTACTGGTAAGTATGCGTGTGGGTGTGGGTAAGGGATGAGCTGCGGAGAGCAGGAAAGGTGAGGAAGAAAGCATAGGGGTGTCCCAAGCCAGGCCCCAATGCCTTCTCGGGGTTGTAAGCTACAGCATGCGTGCCTGTCACCTGCATGCGTGGACCCAGCCAGTAAATACTTGTGTCTTTTCCTCCTACAGATCCCACGGATGGCCCAGTGTAGGTGACGTCCCCTAACTGCTCCACAGAAATAACTCCTCCCCATCCCCCACAACGATACTCCCAGCACCCCACCCCCCCCCCCACCGCCACCATGGAAGCCAAATTGCCTTTATTGGGAGAATTTTATCTCCCCATCTGTCAGTCAAGCCTCCTGGGTGTGAGCACCTTGGTGGGTGTACCTAGGTCCTTCTGCCTTCTGCATTACCCAGAGGGAAACACCAGCTCTGCCTAGACCCCCCGCCCCCAAGTAAGCCACAGAATGAGGGAGCAGGCCATCTCAGATTTGCCACCCCAAGCCCGAGCTGGAAGCTAGTCCAAGTAGCTTCTTGTGTGTGTGTATGTGTGTGTGTGTGTGTGCGCGCGTGTGCGTGTGTGGCGGTTCTGTGGAGTGATACATAAATAATAAACAATTTGTACAAATATGTGATAATAAATTAATCCTTTGATGGATCACGGATACATTTTCAGCATGGGGAGGGGGAGTTGAGGCAGCTGGAACAAGGAGGCAAAGAAGCCAGGCCTATTGAGTTACTTCAGTAATGTGACACAGTGAGAGAGGAAGGATGGGGACTGTTGATTTAGTAGCTTGCAGAGGGGGCAGTCGTCAGCCCTGCAGAATGGAGCCGATGCACTATGTTGCCGGCCTTCAAGCCACGATGCAGTTCTTATTTCGCGGCTGGCCAGGCTTCCCTGAGCGCGAGTCCGGGGGGAGCGGTGGGGCCTGGGCGTTGGCAGTGTCAGTGGCAGCATCCTGAGTCGACAAGGGCCTGCGCAGGTGCGGGGGCAGAGGGATGCGCTCCCCTAAGAAGAAGCCATCGTCCTCTGAGGACTCGGAACTGGGGCTGGAGGGAGAACTGGAGCAAGATCCCGAGTCTGACCCCGATCCCAAGTCACACTGGTGGTGACGACGTCTGTCAGGGTGGCGGAGGTGGTGGTGATGGTGGTGGCGGCGGCGGTGGCGGCGGCGGCGGCTGGGGGCCTTGGGTGGGGGGCTGCGTGGCCTGCGGCGCTGGGCTGGAGGAGCACTCAGAGTCCGCCGGGGACCTCCTCCGTCAGACACCAGCGGATCTCGGAAGCTGACCCGCGGAGTGCTCTGGCGGCCGAAAGCTCCTTCTTCGGGGCGCGGGTCCTGCTGGCTGGGGGACTCCGAGGGTGGCTCTGAGGCACTGCGGAGCCCCAACTCGGGCATGGAGTGGCGGTGGGGCGCCCCTCTCAGAAAGCGGGAGGGCTCCTCGGGACCTGCAACTGATTTAAAAAGAGACATGGATTCCTGCCTGTGTGGGTGCCGCCTGCCAGGCCTGCGCGGATGCTGACAGAAGACCTTCCCGGGATCGGCAGTGGCGAAGTGGGACAGGGGGGTAGAGGATGCGGGCAGTCATGCATCTGTGGGTTGTGGGGCAGAGGCCAGAGGATGGGAGTGCGGGGGAAAGCGGTGGAAAGAGCAAGCCATTGTAGGTGTGGGGCTGTGGCTTCGGAGGGAAGGAGGCGGGACCTTAAGCTGGAGCCAAGGAGGGTTCAGAGAGAGAAGGCGGGGGTCTTCTAAGGAGGAAAGGAAGAGAGGAACTTGGGCCCCAGCGGAGACAAGCTGAGGTAGGGGACAGGTCTCACGCAGAAGCAGGACGGAATCAGGACTCACGAGGTGGGTGTGGTTTGGGATAGAGACTAGGCCTGGAGATGGTGACTGGAGCGCAGCAGGTGGTGGGCCAAGGGGGGGTTGGGGGCGTGGCTGCGACTGGGCGTGGCTCTTACCAGGCTCCGCCTCCGTGCAGGTGCCTTTGGTGGAAGTCTCCGATGCCCTCTCGTCGGCTGAGAAGGAGGCTGTGTCAGGGGCTGTGAGCGCTGCAGTGACTGTACCTGCACTCCAGCTGCGGCGGCCTGGGCCGGCAGCGGTCGGTTCGGCCCCAAGGCTACAGGCTCGCGAGCAGAAAATTAGGCCCCGGCGAGGAAGGAAAGGGCGACCCAGCAGGGGCCGCCCGCAGCGACTACAGCAGAAGCAGCGGTCTGAGGCATGCCAGTGCTGGCCCTCGTAAGCCATCTGGCCCTGGTCCAGGCCTGTGGAAGAACCAATGAAGCAGTGGGGGGTGGGAGAGAACTGGGGCAGGCCCCCCGCCCCGAGCACACTGGCATGTGTTCTGAATGGGGCTTCGTGTAGGTGGGGTTCCGAAGGTATGGCGCAGCCAGTGGTGTTGGGAGTGCTACTTTCAGGAAAAGGGGACAGGCCTGTGGCATTGGGGCTAGACTTCAAAGACAGGACAACATATGATAGATCCTGCAGCCCAGCTCTCCATGTGCACCCCCTTCGCCGCTCCCCCGCCCCGCCATCCAGTCCGCCACAGTCACCCACCAATGTGCTCTCCGCAGCCATCACAGTACTCGGCGTGTCGGGCCTCGTAGCAAGCGCAGCAGTGTGGCCGGCTCTGACGCATGACGTAGCGCTGGCCTCCCAGAGAAGCTTCACATTCAAAGCAGCAAAAATGGCCCATGTGCCAGTGCCGGCCCTCTGCCTCCGTGCATTCTGGGGAGAAGATGATCTGGGGGTGCAGATCAATCACCTGTGACCCTCAGAAGGCTCCGCCCCCCCAGGGCCCCGCCCACTCTCCCCTCCCGCTCCTACCTCATCGCACGCTTGGCAGCGCGGGCGCAGGCGCTCCGCGTGGTGGCGGCCACAGTACACCTTGCCGGCATGGTAGAAGTAGATGAGGTCCACCAGTAGCTCCCGGCATGTGGTGCACACGAAGCACTGGGGGTGCCAGCAAGCGCCCAGGCCTGCACGGCTGGCAAACACCGCGATGTCCCCGCCTCCGATCTGCTTTCCACACTGACAAATGACACAGACTGTCACGGTGACCTTGAGCAATGGCCAGGTGGATGTCGTACTTGGGCCTCCTCCAAGGTGAACCTCTGACAGGCCCCCCTCTCCAGGCCTGCTTGGAGACAGGCTCCGCCTACACTTGGGGTTAGAGCTTGTGAGAAACCATGGAGACAGGCCCCACCCATGGGGAGAAGGGACTGTCAGGTAAACCTCCCCCATAGGGAGCTGGGCAAGACCCAGAGACCAGTCGGACCCAGTGGGCAACCATAGAGACCAACACCATCTGAACTGAGATCTTAATAACACATGTTACCTAGCAGTACATGATAAGCACAGACACCGCCCACAACAGAGGGCCTTGGAAACCAAATGACACTCATGGACAGGCTTCAGAGACAGGTTCCACCACTGTGGGTCAGTTTTAAAGGCTTTGGGGGATCCATAAAGAGACAGACCCCAGCTCCCCACCCATGTCCACTGCTTGGAGAGGAGGCAATAATAGAAAAGGAATGTCAGGGTTTCCTTACAGACAAATCGTGCTCAGCAGCAAGATCTGTGGAACAAGTCCTGTCCACCAGGGGGCGATAGAGATACACACCATCCACTAGGGGCCCTTGGCAATAGTCCCTGTCCAATAGTTAAGATGTGGGCAACAGACAATGGACCACCAAGACTGCAGGTGCGGAGGCTTAAGCAGCAGCCCTCGGCTTCCCAGGGCCAGGAATTAGGTCTTGCACCCCAGAGTTTGGAGCATAGGCATAGGTCTTTTCAGGGCTCACCTCCTCACAGATGGCCCCAGTGATGGTGACCGGGAAGATGCGCACTGCTCCACGCCCCAAGTTCTCCCGCTTCCGCTGCTGGCTGAAGGCCCTAAGCTCTTTCTTCTCCTCCTCTTCCAGTGCTGTGCAGTACTGGGCCTGGAGTGGGGGATGGGGAGTGGCAGTTGGAGGAGTCTTCCAGGCTCTTCCCTGATGCCTATCCTTGGCCTTTTAAGATTCCACCCACTTAATGAAACTCAATTTCCTTCCACGGGGGCTGTTGCTAGCTATGCTGGCATCTCATATGGGAGTGTCATCTGAAACGCTAGCTGGTGCTCCACTTCCCATCCAGCTCCCTACTTGTGGCCTGGGAAAGCAGTTGAGGGCGGTCCAAAGCGTTGGGACACTGCACCCATGAGGGAGACCTGGAGGAGGCTCCTGGCTCCTGGTTTTGACCTGCCCAGCCTTGGCCATTGTAGTCATTTGGGGAATGAAGCAGTGAATGTAGATCTCTCTCTCTCAGGCCCGGCGCAGTAGCCTTGCAACTAAAGTCCTCACCTTGAACACACCAGGATCCCATATGGGCGTCAGTTCTAGTCCTGGTGGCCCTGCTTCCCATCCAGCTCCCTGCCTGTGGCCTGGGAAAGCAGTTGAGGATGGCTCAAAGCCTTGGGAGCCTGCACCTGCATGGGAGACCCGGAAGAGGCTCTAGGCTCCTGGCTTCAGGTCGGCACAGCTCCAGCCATTGTGGCCACTTGGGGAATGAATCAGCAGACAGAAAATCTTCCTGTCTTTCCTCCACTCTGTATATCTGACTTTCCAATAAAAGTAACATAAATCTTTAAAAAAAAGATCTCTATCTGTCTCTTCCCGTCTAAATCAAGTCTGCATTTCAAATAAATGAATGAATATATAAATCTTAAAACAGTTTCCTTCTGGGGCTGGTGCTACGGCACATTGGGTAAAACTACCACCTTGATGCCAGCAACTCATACGGGCACCAGTTTGAGTCCTGGCTGTTCCACTTCGGATCCAGCTCTCTAGTCACAGGCCAGGGAAACACAGCGAAAAATGGTCCAAGTGCTTGGGCCTCTGCATGTACATGGGAGACCTGGAAGAAGCTCTTGATTTGTGGATTTCATCTGCCCAGCTGTGGTTATTGCAGCCATTTGGGGCTGAACCAGTGCATGAAAGATTCTCTCTTTCTCTTTGCTTTCTGCAACTCTTTCGAGTAAATAAATACATTTTTCTTTAAGTTTACTTCCAGGCCTTTGTGTAGATGGCATGGGTGCCTGAGAATCCCCCTCCCCCACTTACCTGTTCATTCAAGGTTTATTTGTGCCTCTTCCAAGGAATGTCCCTTTCTGGTCCCAGCCCGACAAGCCCTCTCACCTCACCTCAGTACAGCTTTCCTGTCCTGACCCCTGTCCATTGCTTTCCTGATGCTCTGCGCTTGCGCAGCATGTGTCCAGTACCTGGCATTACCCTTCCCATCTTCTCTCCTCACCTCACTGTCGTGTGGAGGCAGCTGATGCAGCAGCTGCTTGATTCTGTATTTCTCTCCAGGACTGTTGACATAGGGGACCTTGTCCTCTGGCAGGCAGCTGAAAAACTGGTACACCTAGGAGGACATGGGTGGGGTGGAAGAGAACCATTGAAATCAGCAGTGAGTTGGGTCCCCCCACCCCTCGACTTCTCTGAGAAATGTGAAAACATCAAGACAGGGAACTCATCCTAATTGCCTCTCATCTTTCCTTCCCAAAGGCTAGAGCATTCCTTCTAGTTCCCCGACCTTGCTAAGGGTTCCCTCATGTGTGAACCCCTCCCCCCTCTGTTTCACTTCCAACCTCTTTACAGCAAACATCCCTGGAAGCTTTGCAAACACACACCTGCATAACACTTCCGCTTCTCCTAGTCTCCCTGGACTCCACTCTGGGAGGCTTCCGCCCCTTCCCTCACAATCCCCCTCCCAGTGCACTTCCTGCAAAGCTCTCAAGGTCAGCGGATGTCCACGTTGTTAAAGTCATTGTTCAGTCCTCCTTGGAGTTGATCCATTAGGTTGTCCTGCACCCTGCTTACTGGTCACTCCCTTTTCCTGGAAACACTTTCTTTCCTTTGGCTTCCAGGACACCAGAAGGATCCACACTCATTTCCCTCCCACCTTCAGCGGATCCTTTTGTTGCACTTTGCGCTTCTCCTCAACTAGCTGACTCTTAAATGTGCTGGGGAGGGGATCTTGGGACTTGGTCCTCCTGTTGACCTTGTCTCCCTCGGGAACTGTATCAGCTCTCTCTGCTGTAACCATCACCTCTGGGCCAAGCTGTCATGGACACAGGTCTTCTTTTAGTTGTAGGCAACGTGGTCATTTAGTTGTCTCAAACTTCAGATGGCCAAACCCCAACGTTTAGGCTTGTACTCCTAACTTGCCTGTGCCTTGGCCATCCCCATGCCAGCAAAGCTTCTCATTTTGTGGGTTGTCTTTCACTCCCTTTCCTCTCCCCACTCTCAAGCAAGTCTCAGTTCTGCTCTACTTCAACTGTATCCAGAATCGGATTTCACTATGTCCCCCACCAGCACTGTTGTACTTCACCTAGACTACCTCAGCCATTCCCTCCCCACTGCTACCCCTGCTTGCACCCACGCTCATGGTCCAAGTCTTCTTCATGATCCTTGTCACCTAACTTTACCTCCCTACTCCCTCTGCTCCGGTGGCACTGCCCTCCTTACCATCTGTCATACACACAGGCCAAGTACGCTCCTGCCTCAGGTTCTTGGTGGCGGCTCTTCCCTTTGCTTCTACGGCTCTAACTTCCAGGGCAGTGCAAAGTGCAAACGTTAAATTTTCATAGATGCTTACCTGGGCACCCTGTTTACAAGGTTAGCATTTCTGTCTCTCCACCCCCTTATTTGCCTTTTTTTAAAATTACATGCCTTCACATCACCTGACACACAGAATTGGCCCTCTGTATCTGTACATTCTGCATGTGAGGACTCAACCAGCTATAAACTAAAGACAGATGAAAAAAATTAGATCTTGTCAGCATTCCCTAAACAACATCACGTTACAACTATTTACATAGTATTTACACTGTATCCAGGCCTAGCCATGACTTTGAGCGTGTAAAGAATCTATGATAAGACACTCTTTTATATATAAGGAATTTGAGCCTTTGTGGATTTTGGTGTCTGAGAATCCTGGAACCAGCGCCCTGAAGACACCAAGCGATGACTGTATTTCTCAAGTGTGTTTATTATGGTCTGCATATCTTTTCAGGTAACTAATCTCTACCTAGGAAAACACGGTGTTGTGTGTTTTGTTCTTTGTTGCATCCCCCCAATGACTAGAACGCTGACATACAGCAGGTGCTCTGTATCTCATTAAATGAGTCAATCACTGAAGATGAGTGACTGGAGTAGTGGGGTAAAGGGGGTGAAAGACAGGTGGGGCGAATAGGCCCTGGGGTAATGATCCAGTGATCCCTGAGGATTCCTTGTGAGGTATTGGGAGGATGGCCACCCTCCATCACAGAGGAAGGACACTCTGAAGTGTAACTAACTACCGCACTCGAGGTACCACTGCCCCCCTCCACCCTCCACAGGAGGCTCCCGATGAGTGTGCATGTGTGTGTGTTGTGTGTTTGCATGCATGTGTACCCACTGGAGAGCAACAGTAGCAGTTGGTCCCTGGTCACCTGCTCCGGCTTGAGGCCCGGGGGTACCCAGGCATACTCCTCCGAGGCACAGCCTGAGTCGTCGTCTGAGATGGAGTGGCGCTGGAAGTCTGAGATCAGGCGACACATGATGCGTTCCAGGTCCACAGGCACCGCGTGCACAGCGTGCTCCTCTCGCGGGCATTTACAGTGTTGGCAGATCTTTCTGAGGGGGCCGGGGCGGAGGTCGGTTAGGATGGTTGTGTACTCTGAGTCCTCCGCAGTCCGGATTCAACGGAGGGGCGGGAACTCGCGGGTCGTCACCACCTCCATAGGGCTCCGGCCTGGGGCTGGGACTTGACCGGAGACGTAACAACGAGCCAGGGGCTGGCTGAGAGCCTCTGGGAAAGATCGTGGAGTATGGGTTGCAGATTGGGAAGGGCTCAGCTTCCAGCTAAGGGAGACCGGGGATGTGAGGCGGGTGGGGGAGGGGCGGGGCTGAAAGCTTGCAAGCCCCTTGGGGGGAGGGGTGAAGGTGTAAGAGGGCCCGGGCGTGAGTAGGGGCGGTGGCACAAGACTGAGATAGGAGGGCTAAACCGAGGCGCTTTCCCTCAGGACTGGCATTTCATTTTGGGGGTGGCGAGACCTTCCCGGAGGCAGGACTGTAGCCTGTGTGATGCGGCCCTTGACTGGTGCGTGAGCGGGGCTCTGGGAGTCTATGGGTGGGGCCTGAGTCTGGGGGCAGCGGAGCATCTCCCGGCAAATGGAACGCGGAGGCGCCTGGCGGATTCTGGAGGAGGGGACAGTTGTGGGTGGGGCTCCAAATCTGCGCCGGAGACTTCCCTAAGTGGGCGGGCGGTGGGCAGAGCCCATTCCTAGCAACGTGGCCTGAGCTTCTCAGGGGTTGGGGGTGTGTTCCCTTGAGGGTGGGTCCTGGCCCAGACTGAGGCCCTGGGGAGGGGTCGCGTACCTCCAGCCGTGCAGCAGGAAGCCTGGGCACTGCTCCCGGCATGAGTTGCAGGGCTGGCCCCGGTCGGGATCTTCTGCCTCTGGAGGCTGTGGTGGGCAGGCGGGGACAGACGATGGGCCGGGCGGGGCGCGGGCGCCGGGAGGGAGAAGTCAAAGCCCGCCCCTCCGCTCCCAGGGCCCGCAACCGCACGCTGGGGCCTGTCCCACTAGGGCAGCGCTGGGCAGGCTGGGACAGCGCCGGGAGCGCGGGGGAGGGGGCCACAGCCCAGCAGAGGTGGGCTAGCCGAGGACACTTCTTTCTATGCCTGCCCGTTCAGGGAATTCCCCCTCTCCTGGCCTGCTTTGAACACCTCTCTCCCCTCCAAGCTTCAGGGACCGCCCCCCCCCCGGGCCCCAGATTTCCATGGGGTCTGGCCCACCAGAGCTCGGAGTGCTCAAGCTTGGCATCCCGTTCCACGCCTCATCTGCGCCCCTTCTACTAAGCCAGTCGCCGCATTCCAAGTCCACTGGGCAGGGAATATTGAGACCCCACCCGCAGGATCCCAACATGAACTCCCCCTCCGTTAGTTGGGAAACTCATTACCCCCTCCCCCAAACCTTGACTTCACCCCTCATTCCTAAGGATCCTCCCACAGGATCTCAGGGGCCCTTATTGCACTCAGAAACGTACCCCTCAACGCCTTGGCTTTTACACTCTCTGTCCCAGGGTTATTCACTTCTCTGCATCTCTCTGGCTCTAGTGGAAACCTGGTTGCCCCCAATGCCCTAACGTTGGCGCACCAAATTCTTCACTCCATAAGCCCTTAAAGCATTGGCCCCTGCCCCCCAGAAGTTCGGGAAGTCCCTTTCCACCCAAGACCCCAGGGCCCACTCTTTGGCCCTCGAAATCACCTCCAGTATTTCAAGGACAGAGGAACCAGCAGGTCCCAGGGGTGCCCAGGAAGCAGGCCTGCGGAGAATGGGTTAGCAGCTAGCGTAGGCCACCAGCTTTATACACTTTCACCCTAAATGCCACTGGCATTCTGGTGCCCAGGTGTGGGAAGACTCCCAGGTCCCTTGCGGGAATCACACTCGCTGCCCTTAAGTCCGGCCCTCTCTTCTGTGCCTCAGTTTACCCCTGATTCCCCTCACCCGCTCCAATTCCTCCTCCCTCCTCCCCCCACCCCACGCCTCTCTGCCCTGAGTCCAGCTCACCGCACGCCCTGAGCGGCGCCTCCGGGACCCACGCGCGAACATGGCGCGCCCGGGCAGGGTCAAGCAGGGCCGGGTCAGGCGAATGCAATCCTCGCGGGCCGTCAAGCCACAGCGCGTCCGGCCTGGGAACTGTGTTCCGTAAACTCGACACCGGCGTGGGAGGAGCGCGCCCCATAGGGCCCCGCCCCTCGATCGGTGTCTCCCGGCGCGGCAGAGGAGACAGCCCCTATCTGGAGATGAGCTGCAAGCAGCCCAGGGAAGCGCTGGGTGGAAGAGCACCCCTCACACTTCCCAACCCTTTGTTGTCCTCCCCTACCCCCCAGCTTGGGCCGCGTAGCGCAAGACACGGCCTCTTGAACCCCCGGTGTGCTAGTGACCTCTCCCGGGACAATCTGTAGAGGAGGGAGTGGGGACTCGGAGGTGGGGACCTGACTTGGAAGGGGTGGTGAGCTAGGCAGCTTGGATTTAGCTCCAGCTGGTGTTCCTTTGTCCCTATGAGAGCTAGATGCACAGAGAGCAAAGACTGTTTGAGATTTATGGGGGGGGGGAGCTGAAGTCACTGGCCAAGTTCCACTAGGAACTTTCCACGCTCTGTCTCTATCCTTATAGGCCCAGCCATCAAGTCCCCCTAAGAGCAGATCTCCAAATCGTTCTTCCTCTGCCCTGATTTTTTTTTCTTCCCAGTTAGCTATCCTCTTTTCGAAGCCAAGTTTCAGAGGCTTTTGCGCTCTTGGACTTCGCTGTGCCTCGGGGCTGGGAGGAAGGGGTCCTGCGCCAGGCAATCAGAACTCAGGCGCCGGGCCGGGGTCTCTAATTAGACATGGAGGCGGCGGCGGTCAGCCAGGCCTTTCATCATAGCGCACCGGGAACCTCCCGCCTCCCCGCCCCTATTACACACCACCCGGTCACTTCCCGCCCCTCCTCGCCCCAGGGAAGAACCGGGGAGGTGTGTGTGTGTGTGTGTGGGGGGGCGCTGCTAGAGAATGAATAAAGGAATTAACTTAGGAGCCACCTCCGGGGCCCCGCCTCACCACCTAAACTGGTCTCCACTCCTTGCGCAGCCGGGAGGGGAAGGCGAGGAAATGGAGATAGCTCGAAGGAAGAACAAGGAGCGGGTAGGGTAGGCTGAAGTGTCTCCTGGGAAGCCAGGGAGTCCTATTGGGACCCGCGAAGACTAGAGGAGTGGCTCCCCAGGATCTGGGGAGGGGGCGTGGCTAAGGGACCAGAATTGTGGACACATTCAGTGGCCGGCAGCGTGGGCGAGCATCGCCAAAGTGTGACTTCTTAGAAGGCATTGCGGACAAGACTTCACCTCTTGCTTCTTCTCTGTCATTTCTCTTCTACCTCCGGCACCCCCAAAAGAAAACCAAAATCAACGCCCCCCCCCACACACACGGTGAAATCAGATCCGGGTCTACTAGGTAGTAGGGGAGTTTATTTGGGGGAGGGGAATTAATCATATTTGTTCTTTCTCAGGGAGGGGAGTCTTCAAACAATACCGGAGGGTGTGGGAAATGGGGGGGGGGGTGCCTGGAGGAAAAGGGGAGGGGCCACAGCCAGACAAAATTGCAACACACGATCACAGGCACTACCGACATCACAGACACAGCAGAGGGTGCAGGGATGGGACTCCAGACCGGACCGCCAAGCACCCCAGGACGGGACAGGCAGGGGTGCGGAGGAAGGGAGAGGGCAGGGGAGGAGGAAGAGGGGTAGGTCAGCCCATGGACCCCTTGGCTCTGATCTCTAAATGCCTAGCCATCTTGGCAATCTCAACTGTCATTCGGATCTACGCAGACCTCCTGTGTTCCTGGGCCTCGGCCAGGGGCATTCTCCCTAATCCCTAACAATCCCATCCTGCAGCTCCTAGCAAGGCTCCCCCCACCACTCTGCCAATCTACTGCCCAAACCAGTGCCTTTAAAGCGTTTTCCACTCTGCCCCGTTGGGGTGGGGCTGCTCCCATTTAAAACCACCGTGCTTGCGCCACTGTAAACCCTGCCCCTTCTGGAACGCTGACCCACACCTCTACCCAAGCTTGGCCCATTCTTGAATCTCGCTTTACTCTGGTCCCAATCTGAGATCAGCCCACTCTGGAGCCTCACTCCTGCCTACTTCAAGCCTCATTCCTAGAACCAGTCCCTTTGTGCTCTTGTAAATCTTTTCTCCACACCTTGAGTGAAATCTCTGTGCTAGAACCCTGTCCGACTTCAAATGCTGCCCACCCTTTGCCCCACTTAAAGTCCCGCCCCTTCCACAACCACAGCCTCAGCGTCCTTCCAAAGTCGCCCATCAACAAGCACCCCCTCTGCTTTTGAAGCGGTATGTGGGTTGTGTCCCTGGATCCCGAGTCCACTCCACTCCAGGGCTCTCCTCCTAGATCAGCTTGGGTCTTCCTGGCCTCAACCCTCGCCCCTCAACATCTCCCCCTGCCAGCTTCTCTTCCTGTCACTGTTGGAGGAACCAAGGCCAGGACTGGGAGCAGGGAGGGAGAGAGGGAGAAGAGTCTGAAGCCATGTCCATGCTCCCCACACAGCTGAGCACTGACCCCTCCCTTTCCTCCCTTTAGAGCCCCTAGGTGTCAGGAGACAGGGCTGGGGAACAGAGAGGGGCTGAAGGATGCAGTGGGAAGGGACGGGGGTGAGAGATGGGTGGACCCACTCAAGACCGGGCCCTGAGTGCATGGGGGGGAGGGGAAGGCTCAGATAAATAGATATTTATATATAATATATATATATATATAAACAGCAAAGACAGGATCTCCTGGTTCGAGGGCTGGAGACCTAGGGCATAGGGTTAGGAAGGGGGGCAGACCTTCTTCTGAGCTCTTGCCCACCCATAGGGTCCTCCCAGGCTGCACTGACCTGTGGAGACAAAAAACACAGAAAGGAGAGGGGGTCCAGACAAGGTTTGGTCTGTGCCTTTTCCCTGCCTTCACTCTCCTACTGGCCTTTTTGTTGTTGTTCTTCCCGCACACATTGTTCTAGAGTCACCTTCATCCCAGCTGGCCCCCCTGGGAAGATATCCCCAAACCTAACTCTCACTGGATGTAGTCCCAAAGCAATTGATGGTCCTCCTGGGGGGCGGCGGGGAAAGGAAGTTCAAGAAAAACAAATGAACCCAGGTTCTAGTCCTTGGGAAACAAGGCATGTGACACAAAACAGAGTCCTGTGTTTTAAGAGGTTACATTGTAACAAGGAGAGGACAGGTGTCCCACAGGGATTTCTCTGAGTTATTAAGTGAGTTACCTAGCTTTATGTAAGGTGCTCAGCAGGTGACATGCAAATGCAATGGCTGGGGGCCAGTGTTAGGAGGGCATGTCCAAGAGGCTGCAGCATGGCTGTTATGGTCAGGTCCCTTGGTCTAAGTGGAAGAGACAGTCAAGAAATATATGAGGGCCCGGTGGCCTGGCCTAGCAGCTAAAGTCCTTGCCTTGAACTCGCTAGGGTCCCATATGGGTGCTGGCAGCTTCACTTCCCATCCAGCTCCCTGCTTGTGGCCTGGGAAAGCAGTCAAGGATGGCCCAAAGCCTTGGGACTCTGCACTCGTGTGGGAGACCAGGAGGAAGTTCCTGGCTCCTGGCTTCGGATCGGCGCAGCACCGGCCGTTGCGATCACTTGGGGAGTGAATCATCGGACGGAAGATCTTCCTCTCTGCCTCTCCTGCTCTCTGTATATCTGCCTTTCCAATAAATAAATAAATCTTAAAAAAAGAAAAAGAAATATATGAAAGATTAATGACAGGGTGTGATAGAAAAAAAAAAAAAGGAGGGCACCACGAGAGATAACAAAGGAACTTTTTTTTTTCCCCCCCACAGGGTTAGGTGGGGGTGAGAGTTGGCAAAGTCAGTGACCAAAAGGATGAAAAGGAGGTGACCAGGTAAAACGATCAGATTGTCTATGTGTATGTGCATGTGTGTGTGACTTCAGAGGGAACGCAAGTACAAAGGCCTTGAGGTCAGACTGTGGTTGAATTAGACTGGAGGGTGGGTGGCAGGAGATGAGGTCAGAGAAGGGTGTGTGTGTGTGTGTGTGTGTGTGTGTGTGTGTGTGTGTGAGAGTGAGTGAGGTGGGAGGGGCGGGGGGGAAGGGAGCTCAGTGACCCCAGAAACTTTTGCTTTTAATTGAATGAAATGGGAGCCACAGCACAGTTCTGAGCACAGGAGGGCCAAGGCCTAATTTCAGAGAGAACAGAATCCCCTCAGGACGCTGGCAGTAGAACACACTGGGGGCGGGGGCGGTGGCGGTGGCGGGGGTGGAGCCCTGTGTAAGGGTCCCGGGGGTGATGACAGTGAGACTGTGGGAAGACCGTGGCAACATTGTGAAGGTGGAGCCACCCCGGCCTCAGGTGAGGGCGATCGCTTCGCTTTTAGCGCCGCGGAGTTGAGCAAGTCTTTCCAATTCCCCACTCCACCCCTTTTCCTCTCTTGAAATTCCATGCCACCTTCCTGACTTCCAGTCTTGGGGAGTTGCCGCAAATCTATCACCTCCTCCCGGATTGGTGAGCTCGTCTGACCTTCCAAGCCCAAGTTACCATCTATTGGCTGGTCATCACTTGTAAGACCCACCTTCTCTTTCCGGAGGCTCTGCTGATTCTCCACTGCGCAAGTCCTCCTACTAGTCCTTCTTTTCATTGGTTGTTTTTCCCATCTTTCTCCCCCGCCCTTCCGTTGAAGGGCACTCATTGGCTCTTCATTATGCCCATCTTCAAGCCCCACTCTCCTCTTCATTCATTGGCTAGTTTTTCTGCAAGTAATCCTGCTTCTCTATTGATGCCTTTAAACTCCGCCTCTAACTTGCCCAGCAAGCCCCTGTTGGCTCCTGACTCTTATTGGTTTATTGACCCGCTCATCTCCGTTCAAGCACCCTCTTTTGGCCATAACGCCTGCCCGTTACTCACCAGATTACATCTGATTGGAGAAGGAGGTGGGCGCACCCTGCTGCCCGTATCCTTGCTGCCCATAATCGCCCTGAGGCCCGTAACCTCCGCCACCGCCGCCAGCAGGCTGCCCATAATCGGGCTGGTAGCCGCCCTGGGGCCCGTAGGAGTCCTGGGGCCCGTACCCGCCGGGGCCCTGCCCGTAGCCTGCATCGCCGTAGGCATCCCCGGGTGCGGCTTGTTTCTCAGGGGCACCGGGAGGCGCGCGCAGGAACGGGGCGGCCCAGCCTGTCTCCTTGAACACGAACCACAGATTGCCGACCCAGAGCACCAGGTTCAAGAAGCCGAACACCTGCAGGGAGACAAGGGCTGGCTGTCGTTTCCCCTCCCCCCACGCTCATTGCTCGGCGGCCACCAGGGGGACATCGAGGCCACCCGCATGCTCTTGGGCACTGGGGTCTGAAGCCGTGGGCTTCGACGGGGCTCCCAGACCCTCTGGGTGTCAACGCGTGAAGTCGGTGTACAGAACAAAGCATCTTGTTGGAGGACGAGTTAGAATTCAGCTTTTTGGAGTTTTGAGAGCCATCAGTATTATATATACAAGTAATATCCCTGTGTACCTATTACATAACATGCTTATATATGTATAAACGACAGTAAATTTAAGTTTGCCATATGGCAAACTAAGCATACATTTTATTACATGTTGCTGGGACACATACACACATGTGTACATGTGTGAGTGCACATGTATAGAATAGATACTTCCAAAGATTTCGGTATGTGGAACTTGCAGAAAATATTTTTTTAAAAGCTGACACACTGAATATGCCTTTTACCTTTTATGTCAGCATTTCAGCTGGTATTTATTTAAACCAAAGTGGGGGCTCCATCCTACACTTAAGACTGACCCAGAGAGGCTGAGCTGCCCAAGGCCAAACAGCCAACCTGTGACAGGGAAGAGGAGCACGCGAACCCGACCTACCTGGTGCCAGGTCCTTTACCAGACACTGCAGTGTTGTATGTTATCTCTTACCTAAAGACTCAGTTTGTAGGTTGGCCCATTGTTGGGACGCCAACTGAGCCTGGACAGGCTGTGAGCCTGGTTTCAGGTCACAGAACAGGCCAATAGCAGAGTTGGGGTTTGAGCTCAGCAAGTCTGACTCTTGCCAGTAGAGGGCGTCCAGGTTATTCTTTCATTTTGCACCGCAGAAAACTGAGTTCCAAGAAGGTTTTAGGGTTGGATCTGGGACCCCAAACGTCCTAAGCCAATTTGGACAGAAGGCATGCTCATGTTCTCCCCTTAGAGACCCGCCTGTGGTGTCATGGTGCTTACAGATGATATCCATTAATGCTCTATGGTTGATATGCTACCTCCTCCTCCGGGAAGCCCCTTAGATCTTCCTCTGATTCTTTTCTCATTCTCTCTCTCCCTCCACCACTTACCCCGACCCACCGGGCTGCAAACTCCCCAACTCCCCAGGCCTTACCACCGAGGTGTTGAGCCCTGAAGTCACAGGGTCTCTCAGCTCCTTGCACGTGTTTCCTGCCTGGCGGCACATGGACATCTCCTTGATGATGTTCTCAGGGTCTGTGGCCATCTTCACGTCAGATAGGCCCTTGGCCCATGCGGATGAGCTGACCAGCCACATGAAGGCAAACACTGCCGTCGCCAGGAAGTCCTAGGGGAGGGCAGGGGGTGAAGAAGGCAGCAGCGCTGGGGTGGGCTGCTTCCCGCTGAGCCCTCCTCCTATCACAGGCTTTCTTGGGAAAGAAGCACCCGTCTCGCCCTAGAATAGGTCTCTCCCTTGAGTTCACCTGAATGTACCCCTACCGCCAAGCTTTTTGATGGAGAGGATGTGTGGTGTGGGCGTGTGATTGCAGTGTGTTCAGAGGGGGTGGGCAGCTTAGGGGGAGAAAAGGAGTGTGTGCTTTCCACTTTCATGGGCCCGTGGGAATTCATGTCATTTCATGTCTGCGATGTGTTGCAATCAGTGTCTGTGCAGCAGGGTGGTATGTGGGACTGTCACAGTGCGTGTCTGCCTGCTCCTTCCTTTGGCTCTCAAACACCAGCGAGTCGTGGGAGAGCTGCCAGGCTCACAGGTGCATGGGGCTGTCTGCGATTCTGGGCGGGCTGGGAGTCTGTCGCCGTGACTCTAGGACTCTGTGCCCCTGCTGCCCTATATGTACTCAGCCACTGCTGCCACCACCATGCTTGGTGGCTGCTTCTGTACAGATCCCTGTGGTCGTGGCATACCCTTGGCTGAGGGGCACTCACCAGCATGGGCCCCTTGTTGTTCTCTCGGTACTTGTTCTGCAGGAAGATGTAGGTGGCCAGGGCCCCCATGGAGTAGAGAAAGGCAAAGACAGCCACGGTGACAAAGAATTCAGCCGATGAGGAGTAGTCACCCACAAGGAAGACCTTGGTGGTGCCACCTCGGCAGGTGGGAGCATCAAAGTACACTTGGTGCAGCCTGCAGAGAGAAAGGGGGGTGGGGGAGAGAGAGAGAGAGAGAGAGAGAGGCAGGTGTGGCCTAGCCCCTAAGGACCTTCTCCCTTCCTCTGCCCACAAGCCATGGGGCACCCAGATTCCCATGAGGTCCCAGAAAGAGGAGGAAATTAGCACTCAAAGAGCACCTGCTGTGCACCTATCACATGGCACTGATTGCTCCAAGTATCCCTTGGTGAGAGAGGTGTCACTCATCCCTTACTCTGGCCCAGGCATTCTGGTCTCTTGGGTATGCCCAGGTCTTGCCAGCCATCCTTCCGACCCCAGGATCTTTGCATTTCCCACCTCCTGTTTTGTTTGCTGCTGTATCTTCAGGGCCTGGGAGAGGGCTCAAGAAATGTTTACTGCAGAGAAGGGACAGAGGTTGAAGCAGAGGCTCAGAGAAGTGCAGTCACTTGCCTTAAAGTCACAGCTGGTGAGGGAATGGCAGGCTTGGGATCTGAGTGCTGTTTTCCCCCCTAGATTGTATTGATTCACTTCCTTACCCCACTTTGGGTATTTGAGAGGAGGAAAAAATGTATGCAGAGCAGAGAAGAGCCCAGAAATGGAGCTGGAGGGATCTGTGTGTGTGTGCATGTGTGTAGAGGAATAGATTTAGGAAAGTGCCTTGGGATGAAAGCCTTTCCTGCATTGTGGAGGAAAGGGTTACAGGGAGAATGGTATTGGGTGGGGAGGGAAAGGATTGAAGTAGGGTCCCAGACCTCTGACTTTAGGAGTGGTGAGTAGGATCCTGAACCTGAGAAAATGATACCCATGCCCATTGGGTAGCAGATAAGCCAAAGGCAAGGGTATCCATCACTAAAAACTTGTCATCCTTTGCCTCATGTAATGACCCCTCTCCCCCAGAGCAATCCTTTAAAGTGAGAATTAGGGTAACCATTTAACAGACAAACAGAGTGGTTCAGCAAGGTTACTTGTCACAGATGATCCAGTTGCTAAGCGGTGGAATAAGGAGGTACATTGGGTTTGGGATGACTGTGTTTCTAGGGGGCTGGGCAGGGAGATGGGCTGGTCCTCAGAGGCAGTGGGGGAGGGGTGACTGGTCAGTGGGACTTGGGTACATGGGAGGGAGTGGTCCACAGGGTCTTTGCTTGTGCTGCTGTGGCTTCCCAAGCTGTGTGCCATGCTGTCCACTGCCCTTCCCTGCCCCAGACTGTCTTTGTGCTGGCCTCTGTGAGCAGCCTGTGGGTCCCTGGCTGACCCGCTACCTGGACCTGGTGTTCCTTTCATCATTGCCGAGGGCTTCTACCTGGCTATCCTCTGCTTACACTGTTCCCTCCTCCCCAGTGCGCCGGTCCTGGAGCCTATGTTTACCTTAGCGTCCCTAAAACCTTATCCAGTTTCCTAAAACCCAGTCCATGATATTGCTTCTTGAGTCTCTTTGATATCTTCATTCTCCTTATTGAAAAAGACAAAGTAGGAGGCCCTGATGGTATGTCAGGTCCTGGGGCAAGTCTGAAGTCATCACACCCTCTCCACCAACCTGTGAGCTGGGTGCTATGACCCCTTTTCACAGCTGAGAAAGTAGAGAGCCAGAGTGGCTATGGGATTTGCCTAAGTAGGGGAGGAAGCTCAGATGCCTCTACTGAAACTGAGTCCCATGCAGCTGTCTCTCCATGCCCTGGGACATGGTAACCATGCCACCTATACTCACCCATATCCAGCCAGCACCCAGCTCTGCACCCAGTAAGAGCTCATGAGTGTTACAGCTGTCCGGGCAGGTGTCACAATTCCCTGAGTCTCAGCATTGCCCCATCATCCTTCATTCTCTAGCAGAAAATCCATGAGGAGCCCCTCCTTGTATTTCTCTGGAGCTGCAATTATCCTCTTGTGAATGTGTGCGTGTGTTATCATGTGGGGGTAGGGAGGTCTGGCCTGTTTGAGTCACTGTTTATTATGTCCATGACATTTTTTGTGCAGTACCAGCATAGAACAGGTTCTCAAAGAATGTGTGAGGAAGGCGTGCCTGAGAGAATGGGAATTCGACACTTCGGGCTAACGTTCACTGGGCACCTGTTATGTTGATACACATGAACTCCAGCCAGAAGGGAATAGCCTTTGCATGTTTTGCTCATCACATGGTCCTAGATGTGCAGAGCAGTGCCAGGTGCAAGGCCGTGATCCCAGTGGATGTGCCTCTTCTAGGTAGGGGTTGGGCGGGAGTCCCTTGGGGGGGAAAAGGTACAAGCAGTCCCCACCCCAGCCTATCTGCTGGGACCCCAGGATGGAGGCGCACCTGAAAGGGTATTCAAATTCCACCTCAATGCTGAGGTCGCTCTCGGTCTTGTTGGCACACTCCACGCTCAGCCGGAGCTCCCCACTGTAGCTGCCGCAGGTGGCGAAGGCGAAGATGGCAAAGACCTTGGGTGGCAAGGATGGTGATGGCCATGGTGAGCCTGTGTGCACAGGGGAGGAGGGGTGCCCTCCTCTGGACTGAGCAGGGGCCCAGCAGAGGCAGCAGCAGATGGAGAGTTCCCCACCCCCACTGCCTAATCAGGGCTCATCGGACCAAGGACAAGCTGATTACAGGGGTGTGGTTCGCTTTTCCCACTTCTCTCCATCTCTACCTCTTCTGGCCCCAATCGTCCTCCTTCTCTGCCCCTCTCTGTCCAGGTCAGCCTCCCCCGTCTGTCTCGGTTTGCCGTGTTTTGTTTGCTGCGTCTTGATTTCTCCTGGCATCTCTCTCCTGTCTCTCCCAGAAGTGTCTTGGTCTGCCTCTCCAGGTGTCTCTTTTCCCTGAGCGCTCTATGGGTGTCTGTCTCACTGTGTTAGTGTCTCTGCATCTTGATCTGTTTGTCTCTCACCTGCTGGCTTCTGGATGCTTCTCTCCTCTTCTCCCTCACTGTCTCTGTTTTTCTGTTTTGTTTTCCCCCTATCGTTTTTCCCTAATGTCTTTCTCTTCCTCACCTCACCTCCTTGGTTCTTATCCTCTCCCGTGTTAATTTCTGTTTGCTTCTCTGTTCTCTGTGTCTCTGCAACATCTCTGTATGTTTTTTAAAATCATTTATTTATTTTGCAGCATGTCCCTCCCTATCTCTCATTCTCTCTGTATCCTTCACTGTTTCTGGATTTCTCTGGCTTTGAACCTGTCCCCTAGAAATCCGCTGGAGGCTCCACCTCTGCCGTCACTTTAGGAGAGGAGATAGGATGTCACAGGCTGCAACTTCACAACAGGGTTACCCTCAGCCCTGTGATGTCACAGCCCATCCCTGCTGTGGCCCCCGACACCCCCCCCCCCAACCCAGGGAATGTTAACCTGGAGCCCAATTCTCCCATTTCCCCCCCCCCATCCATCCCTTGTTTTCCATTTCTATGGTGTCCCTGCTTTTCTGGATGGACCTGACCACCTCTCTCCCTGCACCCCCTACCCTTCCCCGGGTAGCCCAGCACTCACTCACCCATTGCAGCACCTTCACGAAGCCAAGGGGCTCCTTGACCACCCGGAACTGACCGCCGGCCACCAGCTGAGAAGAGAAACCCAGGGGAGGGGGGCCGTGGTTGCAGGGGAGAGAGAGAGATCAGGGGCTAAGATATTTCAGCTGAGGAATCCTGGGGATGGGGTGTGTGACTTCGAGGGCATTTGGAGAGGGGGTGCAAAAGAGACCTTAAGGAAGGCATGCAGCAGTAGAATTTCTGAGAAAACACCCTCCACCCCTCCGGTGGTGGGGGGCTGGCTTCTGGGGTGATGATGAGTCAGATGGCTGGGGAGGTCAGCGGTGATGAGGATCCGGATGGGGTCGGCACTGTTGTGGAAAGGGGACCGGTCTGGGAGCTAAACGTGACCGTGAAGGGCGAGGGGTCGGGTGGAGAGGTCGCGGCAGGCGTCGGGCTCCTGACGTGGGGGAGGGGGTCTTGGGCGGTGAAGGTGAGTCATTCCGCGGGCGAGGCCGGCAGGAGTCGGTTGGTTGCAGAGGGGGAGGGGTCTGCACGGCAAAGGTGAGTCAGGCGGTGGGGAGGGGTCTGAGGCGACGGGAAGGGGGAGCGTGGAAAGGGGTGTTATTGGTTAGGGAAGGGGCGAGGTTCTGAGGTGGTGAAGAACAGTGAGATGGCGCGGAGGGTCTGGACGGCTGAAGGTGGGGGAGGGCCGGGCAATGGCTTCGCTGAGTTTGTGTTGGGGGAGAGAAGACAGTTAAGGGGGGTGGGGGAAGTCGAAAAGGCAAAACCGATCGTCCCCCTGGGTCTGCTCTGGGAGAACGGGCCCTGGTCATCAAGCGGGGTGCAGTTGGTTTCGGAAGGGCGGGTGTCAGCCCTCCCTCACCCCCGCCCCCACACCTTCTGTCGCTCTATTTCCTAGCTCATCCGCAGCCCCCCAGTCTTCCTCTCTCCCTATGCTATGCCGCCCCCACCTTGATCTCCCCCCACAGCCCCCTGGTCCCCTTCCTCCTTCTCGAGGTCACCAGCAAAGCGCGGGGTTTTCTGGTGGCTCTCGCTGCGCAGTGAGAACGGCGCTCGTTGCGGCAAAGAGCGCACACACCTCTCCGCCACCTCCCCTTCCCTCCCTTCACCTGCCGCAGACCCCCCCCCAAGCCCCTCCGCCGGGGTTAGGGTCTAGCGTGGTCAGGATCCTGGCCACCACCTCTTAAGAGCCGCTAGGCTGAAGCTAGGCGGCTCAGGCGGACGGCAGCGGCGGGCTCTGTCCGCGGTGCTGGAGCGCGTACCTGATTCACCACGTCCATGTCTGCCAGCAGCAGCATCAGCAATGCAGGGGGCGAGCGGCGCCGGCTAGCAAGGGCGGGCGCGGGGCGCGGCGGGGGCGGCGCGCGCTCCTTGGAACAGCCCAGGCGCCTGCAGCCCCGCCCCTCGTGCTCTCGCCTCGCCCGCCGCGCGCGCCTGCGCATTGCCGGTCGGCCGCGGCCTCGAGGGCCTCCATTCCAGTCCTAGGACCTGAGGTCGGCACAGGGTTGGCAGCGCGATTCCCCATGAAAACACGACGAAAGGGGGCGTCTGGGGCGGGGAGGGAGGGCCGATTCGTCTTAACGGATGCCATTTTGATGAGCCTTTTTCTGAGTTTGCAAAATGGTCACTCATGGAATCCCTTGTGTCATAGGGACTAGTAGCTCTGTTTTCACAGATGGGGAAAAGGAATCCCCAGAGAGGCGAAGTGACTTACACAAGGTCACGCAACCAGGAATTGGCAGTGCTCAGAGTCCCTGTAGCTTGAACGTAGTTCAAGGTCTTTTGAATTCCTGTTAGAATGTCTGTATCCTAAGAGCCTCTCCCTGTCTTCCCCAACTACCTTGCTCCCATTTCTCTCTCCATCCTGCTCAAATTCTTTTTTTAAAAGACTTTTTATTTGAAAAGCAGTGTTAGAGAGATATCTTCCATCTGTAGGTTCACTCCCCAAATGGCTACAATGACCGCAGCTGAGCTGGTCTAAAGCCAGGAGCTTCATCCTGGGCTGCCACTTGGGTGCAGGAAAGCCTTGGCCATAGGCAGGGAGTTGGATCAGAAGTGGAGCAGTTGTGACACTAACCGGCACCCCTATGAGATTCCAGCACTACAGGAAGCAGCTTTAGCCACTATGCTACAACACTATCTGTGGTCTTATTCAAATTCTTGCCTACTCCAACACTGTGGGTTGCATCCTCTTTTTTTTTTTTTTTTGAAGATTGATTTGTTTTATTGGAAAGGCAGATTTACAGAGAGAAAGAGAGCCAGTAAGATCTTCCATCTGCTGGTTTGCTTCCCAAATGGTCACAATGGCCAGAGCTGAGCTGATCTGGAGCTAGGATCCAGGAGCTGCTTCTGGGTCTCTCACGTGGGTACAGGGTCCCAAGGCTTTGGGCTGTCCTTGACTGCTTTCCCAGGCCACAAGCAGGGAGCTGGAAGGGAAGTGGAGCAGCTGGTACATGAACTAGTACCCATATAGAATGCCAGTGCTTGGAGGTAGAGGATTAGCTGGTTGAGCCAATGCACCAGCGCCAAGGGTTCCATCCTCTTAATTCTTCAGTGTTCTCTTTAGTGGACCACCTGTCCTTCATGCTACTAAAGCTAGGTCCGTCAAGGTCAATGGTGATTACCATGTTGCTTGAAATACAGTTAGGGCTCAAGAGGCTCAGCCTAACTCACACAAAAAGAAATGCATATAAAAATTGCTGATACCAAGGACTAATTTACTGTTATTTCATCACTTTAGAAAAATGTTTTTATTTGAAAGAGAAAAAGAGATACAAATAGAGGTTCCAATTGCTGGCTAACTCCCCAAATGTCCAAAACAGCTGCAACTGGGCCAGGCCAAAGCCTAGAACCGGAACCCAATCCGTGTCTCCCATATGGGAGGCAGGAACTCGAGTTCTTGACCTATCACTTCTGTCTTAGCAGAAGTGCATGAATGAGCAGGAAAACCCCTAGCAGGGTCTGCATTAGCAGGAAGCTGTAATCAGAAGCAGGAGCTGGTATTAAACCCAAGTGCTCCAATATGGGACAGAAATGTCTCTGCTGCTAGGCTATTTGCCCTGGTATCTGCTACATCATTTTCCACATCTATTATCTGATAACACTGGTTGCCTCCAGAGAGGAGGAACTTTTCACTTCTATATCCCTTTGCACCTTTTAAATTCTGGAATGTATATGTTTAAGCGTATAAGCCCACACAAATAAGTAGTGGATATTTCCTAGCTGTTTCCTTCTTGGGGGAAGCAGTATGCAGGAGGGGTTAAGTACACAGACTTTGGCATTCAACTGTTTTAATTTGAACTCTAGCACTAACATTTACTACTGTTTGACCTTGGAGATGACTGGTTTAAAATGCTACCGGTGGGGTTGTTGCACTAATGAAATCGGGTAATTGGTGTCATGCACCCAGCCCGGAGTCCAATCACTGGTTCATTCTATCTCCTTCCCAGCCCTGGGATCCACTCACTTCTCACCATCTCCTCCGCCACCCCGCCTGGCTCAGTCAGCCGTCATTCCTGCCAATTTTAGCTTCTCCACTCACTTCCCCCTCCCTTCTGTTTTCAGCACATTTCGGAGCATCTATTTAAAATGCAAAGTTAACTATGTCACTACCCTACTCTCATCCCTCCCATGGTTCTCTGTTGCTTTTAGGAAAAAAAAAATCCTTTAGTTTGGGGTCTGGCATTCAAGGCCTTGCAGGATCTGGCCTCAGGTGGTGTCTCTCATCCCAGCCCTCAGTAGTCTCTCGCTTCAGTCCCCATGCCCTTGGTCATGACTTGGTGTCTTCACTGTCCACCAGGCCCAACCACTGAAAGCCTTCGTCTCAAGGTCTAGTGTGCCTGTATGTTCTGAGTCCTAGTCCATAATTATGACTTCCTTTAAATTCCCATCTAGATTTGGTTGATAAAAATTATACAAATGAAAAACTCCTGGTCTGAGTGCTGGGCAGAGAGGCCCTAGTACAGACAGGGCCAAGGGGTGGGTGACCCTACCCCATACCAACCCCTAATACTGTCTCTCTTTCCTTCAGAGAGGGACTAACTCCTACTTTGGATCAGCCATGTCCCATGTCTCAGGCATCTGACATGTCACAATGTCTGAACAGCATTCACTGAATGAATGAGCCCCCAAAGGTGAGGCAAGCTGCCAAACTAGGTGCTCTGGGATGTGAGTGTGGGAGGAGAGTGGGTTACTCTTAGGTGGTTTCAGGAATGCCGGCAGAGCTGGGGTGGGGGTGAAGAATGGGGTACTAGGGTTAAGTGGGAGTTCTGCCCTTGGTTGTCACCTAGGTCTTCTCCCAATGGATTTCGGCTTTCTTTTTCTCAGGCACAAGGTGGGAGGTGGGAGACGGCAATTGAGGATCTGAATTTAGCCTTGCTGAGATTCCTGCTGCCAACAGGGAACCCCCCTGCCTCCCTGCCCGAAACATCACAGAGCAGGTCCATTCCAAGCTTGAGGCAGAGCTGAGCTCTGCCTTTCTGCATCCTTTCATACATCTGTCTGCCCTTCCTTGGGCTGATATGCCTGACCCCTTGTGGTATCTCTTCTTGCCTCTCTTCCTCTTCCACACGCCTCAGCATCCTCTCTGTCTTCCTTTCCTCCATCTCTTACCATAGTCTGCCCCCTCCCCCACTACCTCCATCCTCTCCAGCTTTTTTTGGCTGCTGTCTTTTCCTCCTCCTCCACCTCCCTCCTTTCCTGATGCTGAATAATCAAGCCTGGTTGTCCTGGTTTCTGGAAATACTCATGTGTGGGCAGTGGCTCAGGCCTGGAACAGGGGATGGATGGGAAATGCAAGGATGAGAGCTCGTCTTCCAGCCCTCGTCTTCCAGAACAAAGATGCCAAAACCTGGGAGCACGCATATGCGTGTGTGTGTGTGTGTGTGTGTGTGTGTGATTCATGACTGACTCCTGGGGAGGGTGAGTAGGTTTATTGAGCAATGGGGAGGAGTGGGGATTCAGAGGGCACCGATGCAGGTCATTTCATCCCCCAGGTCCTCATCGTCCAAGCGCGAGAGGATGGACTCCTCGTCACTGTAGAAGGAGCTGGTCCCCTGTGCCAACAGGTCACTTGCAGCACTGTCCATCTCATCCAGTGTCAGGCGACACGCGTCTGCGATTTCCTGTTTGGCCAGGGCCACAAAGCGCGGATCTCGGGCAAAGAGGCCCAGGCCTTCAGATATGAGCACCTGCAGGTACAGGTGGGATTGAGGCTGACTGAGGGAAGTATGCTTAAGAGCCAGCGGGGGCAGGGGTGGGCAGTGGGACCAGCAGGGCACCCGTCATGCACAGAGAGGGCACCAAGCCAAGGGGTGGCTGGGTGTACAACACTTCCCAGGGACCTCTTTTTCCTTCCTCCCTTGGTCCCTTTCCACCTCTTTCTCTCCCCTACCCCCACTGTCTTGCCCATGTCCCCTTAGACTCACAGCTTCCACCAAGCTGTCAGCACTGCCTCTCTTGCCATGGCCCGGGTTCGAGTGGGTTCCAGGTACATGCAGGCAGGTGAAGGTACGCAGTGGCCGGCCGGATTTGCTGAGGTATCCCTCCCCGGTGGCTCCTTCCTCCACCAACAACAGTGGGGCATATAGGAGCCGACCCTGCTGAGGAGGGGTGGCCCAGGAACCCTGGGAGCCAGAAGACACATAAGAGGGTCAGGGATGCAGGGGTGGGATGGAGGGATCTATGACTCACTCCTGTGAGTCCGTTTCCTTGTCACCAATAAAGCAACGAGTCAGGGCAAATGAGTATAAATTAGCTGTGAGTTGATGTCAGTGTATTCTGCATGTTAGCTCTGCTACTTACTAGGTGTGTGCTCTTGGATAGACCTCTCTGAACCTCAGTTTGCCCATCTGTAAAGTGGGGCTAAGAAAAGTACCCCTCACACCAGTAATGAGTGAGCAGTTTGCATCCCTTGGTGTGTGACCTGTTTTTTGGCTGGGCTTGTCATGTAGCATGCTGGCTATGTCTGGCCAAGGCTGCCCCCAGTCCTCTAGACCTCATCACCCCCTTCCCTGCCTCACCTGTGCCCTGCTGGATCCTGAGTTGCGCCCTCGATGGTAGGTGCCAGGGATGGGTAGATCCTCACAGCTGCCCTGGCGCTGCAGACACTGGATGGTGAAGGAGGGCTTGCGGCCTGAGTGGAGAATGGAAGGATGGCACCAGACTAGTTCCTGCCCGTGGGTCCTCTGTCCTGCCGTCCCTTGCAGGGCCCTTACGGCACATCCCAGCTCTCACCTGCAGGTGTGGGGGGCAGCAGGCGGCGGCGTGGTGCATGGTGCCCATTCACATATCGCTGGGGTCT